TTGTAGACCTTAGATATTTCAAACTATGAATTCTGTTAGATCAAATATTCTGAATTTGAAATATCAAAGGTTTACAACATCAGATTCCAAAGGTTTACATATTTGAGTTTGTGCCAAAGAGTCAATTCCTTTATAAATTGACTGTAAGAAAAAATAGAAAAATAGAAAATAGAATACCTTTATTACATCTTACATCATGTTATAAGCATCTAATATGTCGAGGTCTTGTTTTTGCAAAAGTTTTAGTCTAAAGTATCTTAAAATTTTGTGTTAATAGTGAATTTAGACAAATCCTTAGTCTTTGTCATTGTCAGCTGTTACTTTTTAAATTTGTTTCCTTTTAATTTTGTATTTTCCAGGGGGGGGGCAAGAGGACTACTGTCCCCCCCCCTATGTACGCCACTGTATACCTTAATTCAGAAATATCAATTTGAATCTCAACCCTAGTCCTGACAGAATAGTGGAAATTAACATTTTCTGACCTTTCCCAAAAATATGGACAAAGCTTTTAGCCTTACATTAGACACTTTCATCAAACTGCCGAGTCTCAAAGCATACTGCCCGACTGTCTACTTTAATAATTTTTTTTCAGGTTATCTTCATTTCAAACCAAGTTTGGTGAGATTTTGCAAATCTCTGCATACTTGTAATTGTAAGGTCAGATCTTTTCAGTCTAAACCACCATATCTCACATAGTTCGAGATGATTAAGTGAAACCAAAAAAAAGTATAAAAACTTATCATTGAAATATTAGTGTCACAACTTTTAATGGAGTCTAAGCACTCCATAGCAATGAAAACAAACCAGTAAATCTTGCTTCATGAATAAAAGACAAAGATAATCATCAGTTCATGTCGAACTGATTCTTACTAGATAACCTGCTTTTATCTACTCTTTTTGGAAGATTTAGAATCTGATATGCAGAAAATGATTTCTTCTATAAATGAAGACACGATATTGTTCAGTTGATTAAGACAACCCACTACTATACCTTCTCCCCATCTAAAAAAACTCAGGGCACATTTAACATGCTGTATATCAATAACTTGAAAAAACGAGCAAAATCATTAGAAATTGTTAAACAAACAAACAAACTAAATTAAGGAAACAATCACACCACATGCATTACTTTCAAATTAAGAACCAATTTTTACTTATAAAAATTTTTACTTTTAATATGTTTTTTTTTAACATTTTAACATTAGAAAAATAAAAAAGTGATAGTCAGAGCAAGAGCATAAAACTTATTTGCAACCTTTCATAATGTTAACTGTTCTAACTTAAAATAGTCGGATTTTACCAGAATTATTTTTTAATATAATTTCTTGGGTATGTGCCCATGGAACCTCACAAATATGATATAACAATAATCTTATGAGGATAAAAATGTAATAATGGAATTCTTAAACTCGATGAAATAATCTACATATTCACCAACTCTTTTAAGCTACAATTTTCTGGGATTTGCTTGCACAAACATTTCAATGATTTTTTCAGTAGAGTGTTCAGACAGCCTTATAGGGTGTAAAGCTATAAGTGCAAGATCGTTAAGTCTGCTCTCCGTCATAGTACATCTTGTGTAATGAAGTATTCTCTTTATAAGGCTAAATCTTTTCTCTCCTTGTATTAACAGTGAATTTAGACAAATCCTTAGTCTTTGTCATTGTCAGGTGTTACTTTTTAAACGTAGTTTCCTTTTAATTTTGTATTTTCCAGGGGGGGCAGGACCCCGCCTGGAACTCTCAG